TATGCTGCGTGCTCAGATTCAGGCTATTCTGGGATATAAGAATTGTGGGGTACCTGTACTGTTTTATTATGTTTTTGGGGTGTTTTATAAAAAGTATACATTTTATGTAACTGAGAGATAATCTTGGGAAAATTCCCTGTCAACTTGTGTTGGAGACCCCATACTATGGGGCTGTGCATAAAAAGCCATGTGGGGGCTAATAAAAATCAGTTGACTCCCAGAACTGTGTGTCGTTCAGTAACTGGGGGAATGGGCTATATCCACTAACCAGGGCTTCCCTTCCAGCTCCAGAGGATTGTAGAGGAGATATTCTGCCTCAGCATTGCAGCTCCACTACAGCATCCCATTTCATATAGAAGAAATTTTTTAAATTGTCAATGGTTCTAACTCCTTGCTCAGATGAAAGTCACAATGTCTAATTCTGATTTTGTTCCAATCATAGCTGGGGCTCCATTCATGGCCAGAGTCAGTTTTGTACCTTCCAGAATGTCTGTTCCTTTTGTGGTTGCTTTCAAAGGACATAAACCAACATTTCTTCAAAGACTTTAAGTTCGGCATCGATACTACAAACGAAAATAGGCAGCTGAACTGTTTCTATTAAATCTGTGCTTTCATTCAAAAGTAATGGGTAAAATGTACATGCTGGCAATTTAATGTCAGTTTATTTACTTTTAGTGAGAATTCTCCAAGCCAAGCTTATTTTGTTAAGCTATCCATTTTGTTTGGGAACACAACTTCAGCTGCTGTTTCAAGACACTCATTCACAAATTCGCAATCAGGAAATGCGTACAACTTTTTGGCGATTTTTTTGAGCAATGATATTACTACCTTTGACTTTACTCTCTGCGTCCTTTGATAATTTTTTTAAAGGCTCATTGTTTAGATTTAATGATTGTTTTACAAGGTTTCATATTGCTTGTGTGTTGTTGACTCTGGAAACTGGTGATCTTGGGTGCACATATGTGTTATAAATAATTCAATTCCTTCTCTATTGCATAGAGCATAACAGCTTTGTTTGCTTTGTAATTCTAGTAAAGCTTGCTAATTTTGCTCTGGAAAATGTCACGGAAATGTGTAACATAGAGGTCATGTACATTAGATATTGATCTTATTAAGCAAGTTATTGAAAACTATACACTGATATTGTGAATGAACTAGGCAGAACATGGATAGACCTTATATATTCTGTATTAAGCATTGTTATCTTTAGCTTACCCCTAAACAAAAATTTGGCCAAAAAGCTAGCTATTTTGTTAGATTAGGTATACTCATGTAGTTTGTACATTATATCTCTCATACTTAGATATTTATATAATTACAGAAATATGTCACATAATTACTAATATTTTAAGTATTCAGCGAGGGGGTTAGCTACCCCATAAGAAAGTTTTAGGCAAAAAATAATTTGTCAATAGATCTTTGTTAGATTGGTTAGGATCAAGTAGTTTCTATGTTAAATCACACATAATTACTCTGATAGTAGGTATTTCAAAAGAGGATGGGTAGATCCCCACATGAAATTTTGAGAAAAAGTCATTCGGGCAGATAGATCTTTGTTAGACCAGGTAAGATCAAGAGGTTCCTCTGTTACTTACAGATACTTAACAGAGACATATTTTTTTTAGGTATTTCTTAAGTATTTCATGACTTACCTAATATCTCTGTAATCATATGATACATATACAAAAAATAGAGGATATAGTAGCATTCAATGGCTTTTAGTAATTAAAAAAAGATTCTTTATTGTCCAATACGGTTCATCACAATACTTTGTGGTAAAATCAGTCTGGTCGACGTTTCAGTCCCTGTTTGGGACTTTCCTCAGGAGCCCGCAACAAAACAATAAGATAACAAATCCAACTTAAATAGAGATAGAGTAAAAGGAAATTGACTTACCCTAAGAAGAAACCAGTGTGTTCGGTGAGTGCCCATGTGGCTGTGCACCAATTTCCCGCCCCCTTTGTCACCACATGTGCATGTTGCTAGGGCAGGGGTTCTCAACCCACTCTTCAGGACCCCCTACCAGTCCAGGATTTGGGGATTACCTGGGTGTGTCTCAGGTGTTTAGAAAAAGGGAAAAAAACACCTTAGACTCTAAGGTGTTTTTTTTTTTCTTTTTCTAAACACCTCAGGCAACGTTGAGAACCCCTGTGCTAGGGAGACCCGGCTTGTGTACAGAAGCTCAAGGAAAGTGCTGTGAAAGTAATTGTAGTGCATTAGACTAATAATGAAGATAAATATATTATAGAAAAGTGATCTCCAGTATAGCGCCATAACAGAGGTCTATTTTATAAGCATACAATTAATTGCAGTGTTTAATATAGTTCAAGACTTACCCTATGAATACAGTGGAAGTCTACTAAACTCTTATTTGTGGAAATTGTGATAAAAGAGTTCCAATCTTATATCAAAGACATATTAAAAATGCTCTCTATTTACTAGGCTGGAGTTAAATAAATTAAGGTTTTCAAACATGCATGGAAAAATGAGTGTTATTGTAGGAGACAAAAGTGCATCTAATAAATAAGGTTACATAGTTACATAGCTGAAAAGAGACATGCGTCGATCAAGTTCAGCCTTCCTCACATTTTTTTTTTTGCTGTTGATCCAAAAGAAGTCAAAAAAAAAAACAGTTTGAAGCACAATTTTGCAACAAGCTAGGAAAAAAATTCCTTCTTGACCCCAGAATGGCAGTCAGATTTATCCTTAGATCAAGCAGTTATTACCATGCATTGAAAGATTATATGCTTGAATATTCTGTTTTTGCAAGTATGCATCTAGTAGCTGTTTGAACATCTGTATGGACTCTGATAAAACAACTTCTTCAGGCATAGAATTCCACATCCTGATTGTTCTTAGTAAAAAAACCTTTCCTTTGCCTTAGACAAAATCTTCTTTCTTCCAGTCTAAACGCATGGCCTCGTGTCCTATGTAAAGTCCGGTTTGTGGCCCCAAATATATTTGTATAATGTTATATCTCCTCTCAGGCAACGTTTTTCTAAACTAAATAGGTTTAAATTTGTTAACCTTTCTTCATAGCTGATATGTTCCATTCCTTTTATTAATTTTGTAGCCCGCCTCTGCATTTTTTCTAGTGCCATAATATCCTTCTTTAGAACAGGTGCCCAATGTAGCGGAGTAGAAGGGGTTAATTGAAAGATGCTCCACTGGAAACAGGCTGCCATACTCTCTCAAAGGCGAGATAAACGTTTACAAGAGAAGAATATATAACACAAAATTACATATTCCATACGTATACTGAGAATACAAAAATTACATCCAATTTTGAAACAAACTTATCTCTGACAAGTTATCTAATAGTGGGCATTCCTGACATTCCACACATGCACCCTGGTCCAAGATAGTTGCACAGCAGTTTTAACCAAGTACTGAACTCTTCTTGAACATTCTGTAACTTCCACCACAGTATGCCATGATAGGGTAATTTTCATTTCTTGGCTGCCATCCGGTCTCAAAGGCAGCCTTGGCACAGCAAACTAATCTGACAAATTTCAATGTGTAAAAACATAAATGGACAAGCCATATATATGACCCTGTAAACTTTCCAAAACTCCTTAAAACCTGTAAATGGGGGTTACTGTTTTACTCATGAGACATTTCTGAATACAAATAGGTATGTTTTATTGCAGTAAAACCGAACAGTATTCTGACATTAACAGTTAAATTGCCATGCAGAACTTTACAAATAACAAAATTTCTTAATTTTTCAAACTTTAGATTTTATACATATAAAATTGAGTTCCATATATGAAGATTTGATATGAAAGTGCTGTTTCTCCTGAACAAAATACAAACCGACACATTTATACACACAAATCCAGATAGACAGATATACATAACACACACACACACACTGATACAAACACTACATACATACCGTGTTTCCCCGAAAATAAGACCTACCCCGAAAATAAGCCCTAGCTGGATTATCGGAGTGGGCTGCAATATAAGCCCTAGGCAGGGCCGGCCCTTTAAATGCTTCAGCCGCCTGAGCGCTCTATAGAGAGCGCTCAGACGGCTGCCGCACTGCCTCACCTCCCTTTCCCTGTAGCGTGGCCGAGCGCCTCTCCGGTCCGCGACCCACCCGGACTGACAGGAAATGCACACTGGGTGTGCACTTCCTGTCAGTCTGGCCGGGTCGCAGACCGGATAGGAGCTCGGCCACGCTACAGGGGAGGTGAGGAGAAGATTGGAGGGGGGGGGAGAATATTACAGTGAGGGAGGGGGGGGATATTACTGGGAGGGAAAGAGTATTACAGGGAGGGAGGGGGATAATATTACAGGGAGGGAGGGGGTATTACAGGGAGGGAGGGGAGATTACAGGGAGGGGGAGGTGAGGGTCTCTGGGGGGGTTACACAGCGCGGACACCGGCTGACAGACTGGCTCTAAGCCCTACCCTGAAGATAAGCCCTAGTGTGTTTTTTGTGACTAAAATTAATATAAGACCCGGTCTTATTTTCGGAGAAACACGGTAGCAGAGTTATGTCGACAATGGGGCGGTGTTATGATGGCAGCGGTGGGATTATTAGTGTTTGCAGATGAGGCAGGCACAAGCACCGTGCATCTCTGTTTGAGCTGGGAGACTCTCACTTCCTCCCAGGACAGAAGACTGGGCTAGTGTTGCGCTAGACCGGGCCACTCATGGCATATGTCCATTGGGTGGCCCTAAGTGCATGGGCCACCTAAGGGACCTTCAGCCAGATTCCCAACCCGTGCGGTGCAACTGCACCGTCGCCATTATGGACTTATTTTTATGTACTCTCTGGGGCTCGGAATGGCACCACTGGGCATGCGTGTACCATGGGTTGGGAACTCCTGCTCTACATGATCACTTCTTGATTCTGGCATCATTATAATGCAGATATACAAACACAAGTTATGCGCTCAAACTCCCACTACTCTTGGGTGGCAGCAATGGCCATAGTACACATCACCCCCTATACATTCAGTAAAAGCCAAAGGAAAAAATTAATGCAGTACGTTATCATTTGGATAAAAAAAAAAAAAGTTTTAATAAATACACAACACAAAAAAAATGAAAGACCATCTCTGATAATTTTTTATTTCCATTTTGACAAATTTCCAGCAATACAAGTTAAATGCTACTGTAGCTCCGAGGTACAGACCCAATATATAGTCATAAAGAAGATGTGTTGTGGACCCATTTCACTTCTAGCATTTTGGAGTTATGTTCCAAAAGTAAACATGAGACTATTGGTATTTAAATTAAATGTCAGTATTCCTGAGTGTTTAGATTAAAAAACAAACAAACATGGTTTTCTGGCAGCCTTTGACAATTAGTTGTCAGTCAGAAAGGGTTAGTAGTCTTTATACATGCGCAGAGATCTTCTTCTTCAGTTCGTCTATGTCAGCACCACATACTTCATCAATCTGTCAAAATATTAGAAATGAAGATTATACTCTGCCAACATTTTAGAAACCCTGTGGTATGAAAAACAATGCAAAATATTTTATTTTTTTAAAATAAATCTTCCCATAAACCAAACAAATGAGACTTGTGGGAGGATAACATTGATATTCCTCTTATTTAACCCCTTAGTGACCAGACAGTTTTAAAATGTTCTTACCGTTAAGGACCGGGGCTTTTTTTACATTTATGCGGTGTTTGTGTTTTGCTGTAATTTTTCTCTTACTCATTTACTGTACCCACACATTATATATATATATATATATACACACACACACACTGATGAAAGTCCACAAGGTGGACTGAAACGTCGATTTATTTTATGGAAACTGAATAAAAAGTTATTTTTTAAATGTAAATCCGTGAGTGCAGCCATCCTACTTGTTTATATCGATATTGAAGCCCAGGCTATGCACCCGGTCTTGGAAGTCTCAGGAGCCTGTGTGCAAGGTTCGTATATATATACATATATACACACACACACACACACACACACACACACACACACACTTTTTCCTCGCCATTAAATGGTCTTTCTAAAGATACCATAATTTTCATCATATCATTTAATATAAAAACAAATTATAAAATGATAAATTTAAAAAAAAAACAAAAAAACTTTTTTAACTTTGACTCCCAAAATCTGTTGCGCATCTACAACCGCCCAAAAAAACAAACAAACAAACAAACAAAAAAAAAACCTGCGCTACATTGTTTCTAACTTTTGTCCGGATTTTAGAAAAACCCAATGTTAACTTTTTTTTTTTTAGCCCTTTGCTATTCCAAATGTTTTTTTTTTTTGGACACACATAGCAATTTAATACATGCACTGAGAACTTTAAGGGTTACTGCCAAAACACCATAATATGTGTTCAGCAACATCACCTGAGTACAGTGATACCACCCTGGTGATACCAGTGTTTTTTATATTTATAATTTTTTTTTTTTTTATTAATTTAGACATCCCACGGTATGTCCACTCTTTTTTAGTAGCCACTTAGCCACAAACACTGGCTAAAGTTAGCATTTATATTGGTTTGTGTGTGAAAAATGCAAAAAGCGAATATGAACGCTAACTTTGGCCAGTGTTTGTGACTAAGTGGCTACTGGAAAAAACTGGACATACCCCAATTACAATACCTTGTGTTGTCTTCTTTGCAAATGGTATGCCATCATGGGGTAATTCTTATTCCTGCGTTACCATATGGTCTCAAAGGCAACATAACCAATGACAAATATCAATAAAAAAAAAAAATTAAAAAAAAGGAAATGGGCAAGCCTTATATTTGACCCTGTAACTTGGGGGGGCGACCTGTTATACTCGGGAGACTTCGTTGAACACAAATATGAGTGTTTCAAAACAGTACAACTTATCAAACAATGATATGGTCAGTGAAAGTGCAGTTTTTGTTTAAAAAAAAAAAAATGCAAACCCACTGGACAGTCAGGGAGACATTGGACCACCAAGGAATTTATTATATTAAAAATAAAGGGAAGAAACAGTCCTCCCTCCATGCTCCTCCCCCCTCCCCCCACACTAACCCTTTCTCATTCTGCCCCCCCCCCACACTGTAATCCCTTCTCTCACTGCCACCCTTTCTCACCCTGCAGCCCCCACTGTAACCCCTTCTCACTCTGCCCCCCTTCCCACTGTAGCCCTTGCTCCCCCCACTGTAACCTTTTCTCACCCTGCGCCCCCACACTATCACCAGCACATACACACTCCCTCCCACACTATCACCCTCACCTCCTGTCTGTGTGTGTATCCTTTTGTGTCAGTGTGCGTGTATTTGTGTGTCCATCTGTACCTGTGTGTGGGGAAACTAGGGGTTGTGTGTAAGTGTATACACTGCACACAAATGCACACCTGTATTCAAACACCAACATTCACATCCATACTCCATACAAATGTTAGCCTTTGAGTTTCACATGCTTGATCTAGGCCAATATAGCTCATCTGGGGATGATTTCCCATCTGAGCTGTTTTGGCACAAGTTATTGCTTACTATGCCAACTGATAAAAGAATAAACGTTTAAGTTGTGCTTAACATCGCCTCATCCCCTTATGCGTCTCTCTTAATTCCCTCTTCCTACCTTGTGTGTCACTTATTTTTACCGTCTGGTCTCTTAACCTATTGTTACTTCTTGTGTGTCTAATCCCATTTACATCTTGCATGTCAAAACACCCTTTTTTGCTGTACACAACTACACAGTCACATGCATAGATAGCTAGACATGCAATCACGTAACGTGACGTAACCAGTCACATGCAAAGGCACACACAGTTACATAGACACATAACAGTCACATACTGTACACATCAATGTTTAATAAAGGGGACTGCACTCCAGTCACAGAAATCAGTTTGTTTTGAATGACCTAAAGCAAAACGAATAGGGTGCTCTAAACTATGGAGGTGGCCAAATCTCCAGATATACATCGTGCACAAAACAAGGAAGTCCAAGCACTCCGTGTTCTAAATCTTGACAGCCTTTTTCATGGAACATTGCCTATGTGTGTTATATTATATCAAAAGCATGATAAAGATCATAGTTCATGACTGAAACATTGGCAATGTGTGTTATGAAAAAGGCAGTTAAGATTTAGAATGCCAATTTCCTGGACTTTCTTGTTTTGTGCACTACATACTGAACACAGACACATGCATATCCAGACAGTCATATGCACACCATATCAGTCACATACTAAAACAGTACGTAACAAGAATCAAACAAACAGTCCTTACTGTCATGAGCACTTGGAGGAACAGAGGAGGCAAGGATCCCTGGTGTCTAGTGGTGGACAAGCAGGCATTACTTTCTGCTTACCCTCTGCGTAGAGGTAGCTCTGGACTCTGTGATGCCCCCTTAAACAGTGTAAAGATCTGTATATACTGCATATTTTTATTACAAAGCTTCTATATAAATATTTTTCCTTATTTCAGTTTGCTGTATATGGATGTATGCACCCCTATATACAGTACTATACATCCCTTATACATTACTAGACCTAGAAATGCACAGTTTAAATCTCATACATACAGACATGGGGTCACATACACCAACATACATAATAGGGACTTTACTAAAGTCAAACTTGTTGGGAATTCAAAGTAGATTTCCTAGCCGACTTTGGAATTCTCTTTAATATGACAATTGTTTTTGGTGAATAACCTTGTCAGACATGAACCAATACACACCATAAGACATCAGATACATGGACACACCAAAATAGTCTCAGATATACCCTTTTAAAGTTACATACATTAATAAAAAAACAAAAACAAACACACAACACACACCACGTCACATGAATTAAAAAAGTCTCATGCTATGACTCACTGAGTGCTGGAATCACGAGGTTATTATGGTTGACCACAGCTCCCTGCTGGAGTACACAAGTGGTCCACCAGGGAAATATGCCAGTCTCTAATTGCGAGCTGTGTTGGCCGCCAGGTGCCCCTGTTGTCATGGTGCCCTGTGCAACTCCGCAGCTCGCACATCCTAAAGGCTGGCCATTAGCAGGTTGCTAGTGATGTATATCATACACGTTACTCTGCTGAAGCTGCACACAGATCCCTCCCACATGGACTCAAATCAGAAGTGTCTTATGGTCTATTTCTTAACCCAGAATTCTATGTCCATCCAGGGTTAAAGAGAGAATTAATTTATCCCCAAGGAACAGTTCAAATCATTATACAGAAATAATAGAACTGCACTTTAAACTGATAGACATTAACAGCTTTAATCAGTTTATACACAGCTATGTTCATGGTGTAAAACAAATGGGCTGTTTTAGCATCCGTCTAGAAACTTTTAGCTCTCAGCATTAGTTGTAGATGCGGAAAGCAGTGCATTGCAGACCCCAAGTAATTCATCAAACCATTCAAAAAAGGTTTCTCTATTTACAATTGGGGAGGGGTAGGTACAACTCCACATCCACAATAAAAAAAGTTTTGTTAAAATGTTATAGTACCTTTTTCCCATCTTTGTAAAATATGAATGTAGGCATAGCACGGACTTTGCAGAATTCCGCAACATCCTAAAAAAAATTAAAAGATATATTAATAAAAACGCTGAGTAAGCAATACAATATACATAATAAAAAAATAAATAAAAAAAAATAAACCATAAACTGATTCAAATAGTTTGAATAATAGAATATTAACATTTTATAATATAGCAGTTTGAATGTTGACACAATAAAACTGAGTCAGTGTTCTATATCTCAATACCTACATGTTAGATGTGTTTTATAACAAAACAATAAAATATTAGAAATATGGTACAATTAATACATACTACCAACAACCATAACATTTTCTATATTAATAGGTTTATGAAGGCCATGCAGAGAACAAGACAATATAGCTTACTCACCGACACGTCATCCACATCTACTTTATAAAAGTCAGCTTTAACGATCTCTATGCTTAATTTCTGAAAGACAATAAATAAACAAATGTAATTGTATTAAATTAGTTTCTATATATGGATCCTTGACTGTTACAGCTGTGTGAATAGTTTTTTTTCTTCTTCTAAACAAATCTTTGCAGCTCTCTGTAACTATCAGAGCTCAAAGTTGGTTCAGGGTGACCTATGCCATTATGGCAGATTTCATTTGAAGAAATTCAAAAACATTAAGATGGTGGATTGTGACTGTAGGAATGATTGCCCCCTCATGATACCAAATGTAGTTGGACTGAATCAAGCCACTCATATTTATGACTTGTTGACTGCCTGAAATCAGCAACTCCAATCAGACCCAGGTTATCTTCCCTTGACATCTTCTACAACAGTGGTTCCGGAACCTTTTTTCACTTGAGTACCTCTTGGCAGCCCATTTCCACAAATTGTACCCCTCATATTGGCGAAATGTTTGTTAGTAATATAGTTGTTGTTATTTCAAGTGTATATGCTTTTCTCAGCCCTAGGCTCCTGTTCTTCAGCCCCAGGCTCCTGTTCTTCAGCCCCAGGCTCTCCCTGCTTCTCCTCTGCCCCAGGCCCTCTCTGTTGTCATTGTGCAGATAGACAAACTGACACAAATGCAGATAAACAGATCCAAACACTGACACACATACAGTTGGAGACACACACACCTAAGCAAGGACATACTCACGCAGATGCACAGATTCAAACACTGCCACACATACAGTTGTACAGACACTACCATACATGGAATACACAGACACACAGATGCAAACAATGACACAAATACAAACAGTTGTAAGGACACACAGATACACACATAATGACACCTGTAGATATATACAGACACACAGATACACACTGCCAAACATGCAGATACAGTTACAAACACACGCAGATATACAGTGACACACACACACATTTCCATACATGCAGACACACACAGATCCAAACAATGACACACTGACACTCACACATTGACACAAACAGATGAACAGACACATAGTTCCATACTTGCAAATACAGACACAAACACACAGATACACAAAAAACCCCAAACAGGTGGCCCTAAGGGCAAGGGCCATGCGATGTACCTTCACCTTTGCGGTTCCCAACCCGTGCAGTGGTTTGGACCGCCATTACCGATTTGTTTCCACGTACCCCCACAGGCACTGGATTGTATCCCTTGGGGTACGTGTACCATGGGTTTGGAAACCCTGGTCTACAATATGTGCACATTAGCAACTGTGAAATGCTGTGTGTCATCTGAAGCAGCTGCAGTTTTCATTTAAGTATGCCTGCTAGGTGAGTATTGAGACTTACTTCAAATAGAGGTGCAATCATTTTGCATGGTCCACACCAGACAGCAGTGAAGTCAATAACAACAAGCTTGCCTTTTACAGCAATTGCTTTCTGGTAATCATCCTAAAAAGGAGGAAAAAAAACAAACAATACCATTTGGAGGGATGTGTAGAATCAAAGTACCATAAGCAGCAAAAAATATATGTAGATCATAAACAGACAAGCATAGCAGGGAAAAAATTAGAAAGCAGCCTGTAAGCTAAAAGGAAAGAAGTGGAACTGTCACGTAACTGACAATGAAATGTTGATTCACTCTTATGTTACACTTTTCTTCCTTTCTTGAAGAAACTATGAAAACCCCTGCCCCTCCTCCAAATAAATCTCATACCCTACCACATGAACGCATGTCCAAACAGGCAGCAGATCTTTGCAACTGAGAAAAGAAAACCTGCTGATACAGGAAAGAGTGGTTTTATCACACCCCCCACCCCCTAAACCAATTAACATGCAAGCAAGAATACAAAATAAAAAAAATAAGATGAGATTTTACAAGTATATGAAAGCCCTGGCACCATCTATAAGCTTGTACAGGAAGCAGCTAGCTATAATTTTAACTTTTGTGGCACTACCAAATCCTCCTAGAAGTAGACAAGGTGTGGTGTCCTATACACTTTTAAATTATGAACTTAGAGCAAGACTCTTTAATAGTACTGTATTCATCTGCCAAACCCATGTTATACCGGCTCTGAGGAATGTGTGATTATACACTTGATATTTGCATTAGCTTTCAGAAGCATGGTTGTATTTTTGCAGTGGATTGAAGTGAGGACATTTAAAACTTCCTAAGCCCTGTTCAGCAAAAAGAACATAAAAGGCCTCAAGCACATCCCTTATTTAGCTCGTCAGTGCAAACACATACATTTATGATGATTGCACCACTTTTATGGTAATAGACCTAGGCAAAAAAAAAAAGCCACCCCCTGAGATAAATCACAACACCTTTCCCCAGCCTTTTTTAATTTCTAATAAGTGTTCTTTCTTCTCCAAATTGTTTCCCTCCCACCCCCCAGTGTCTCTCTAACACACGCCCATAAATCACAAATTGATCGAAGATAATTAAAGTGGACAGCACTTTCAATAAACATACAACTTAAGTGATGCAAATCTTTCAAAGTACTGGTTTCTTCTATGTAACACAGTTGGAGGCTTGGTAAACCTCATACAGAATAATAGATCGAGTAATGAGGGCACAAAAACAAACAAACATACATACATACATACATACATACATACATACATACATACATACACACACACACATACATTTTGCATACTTTTTTGTGCCCTCTCTACTTAATCCATTCTGTATGAGGTTTACCAAGCCTCCAACTGTGTTGCATTTTGTCAGAAAAAAACCTGTACGTTGAAAGATTTGCATCACTGAAGCGGTCTGTTTATTTAAAGTGTGGTCCACTTTAAGGTACACTGTAGGCACCCACACCACTTCAACTAATTGAAGTTGTCTGGGAGGGGTGTCCCTATTGCATTTAGTGTGCAATGTAAAACAGTGACCTAGGCAGAGAACTGCAATGCTCTAAGTCTGCCCTCAGTGGCTATCTACCAGACAGCCACAGGGGGGTGCTTTCGGAATCCAAACGTTATCCGTATAAGGACCTCTAGCGTCAGATTTTCCTCATGGGAAAGCATTGAATAATGTTTTCCTATTGGGTGGTCTAATGCCCATGTGGCCACTGCCGTGCATGCGCATTAGGTCTCCCCTGCCGGCTGACATCGGCAGGGGAGGAACGTGGACGGAGCCTTACCCAGCACCAAGGGCCATCAGCGCTGGATTCAGGTAAGTAGCTGAAGGGGTTTTAACCCCTTCATCTTCGGGGGGGAGGGCACCTATTAAACCTAAAGGGTCAGGAAAATGGCTTTGTTTTCCTGGCACTATAGGATCCCTTTAATTTTATTCTGATAAAGTAGGGATTACTCTGTGTAATGTAGTTCTACTAGGACCTGATATTTAGCAAAAATGTGGCACTAAACCGTTTCCTCTGTTACATGCTGCTTTATCACATCAGATATTGCTGGCATTGATGGATTGGAACATACGTTTTCTGATGTATATGAGAAGATATAGGAAATATTGTAGATGATTTTCCTACCCTCATGATTCTTTTCCCACTGTAGTGGATCTCATGCCAGAACTACCCTTGCAATTCTCTCCCATCAAATGTTCTTACCTGGGGGCTGCTGCTCCCTGCCACCACTTGATCCTACAAAGAGACAGAATATCTGTCTGTACGAAGGCTGTCTGGTAGTGCAGGGCTTAGCTCATTGACAGAGTTATCAGCGGACACTCTTAGACAATGAGCCAGCTCTGCACTGCAAGGCTTAGCTCAGGACAGCGAATAGAAGATCCTAAGCAGGAGCATCAAGCTCTGTTAGATATAATGGAGGCCAGGATCGGAACCCTGTGGACCTGAGGTCAGGTAATGGAGGCCAGGATCGGAACCCTGTGGACCTGAGGTATGAGCTCAAACCGTTCTAAAATGGTTTAACTTCTTACAGTGGGAGTGTGCAATGGTACTCCTGGCACCATAACCACTACAGCGTTATGTAGTGGTTATGTTGCATGAATTGTTCCTAGAACAAAAGAATGGGATGTAGTAGAGATAAATAAAGGGAATAACACAATTTTCAAATGGATTAAATAACTCATTACTAGAGGCAAATTAGGGCACATCCTATAAATATGGTATCAAGAGGGATAACAGAATGTACTCTAAAGATCTACACCATGTGGCAAAATATTACAGTGTAGAGCTGCTTGCTATAAAATTAAAGCAGCTGTTACTGTGACTTATGTATTTTTCCTACACTTGACAAAAGTAGCTACTTTTTTCAAAACCTCACTAATGACAGCTAGGGGGAGAAGACTGCTGATGTCAACTCCCAGCAGATGAGGAAACAGGATTTTAAGGAGTACCTCATGAAGGAAAGACAAGCAAAGCAGTCACCATGTGGGGTCTTGGAAAAATATGCAAAGAACCTAGAAAGTGACAGAACCGATTTAAATGTATGAATTGTCAGGAACCGAAAGTGAATTTCAATTTTCAGGCAGAAATATCCTATAGCCAACAATTTACACTTGTGTGATCACATATACAGGGTTAGTCACTAAAGTGAGAATGTCCCATTTAAAGCCAAACTGAAGGTAGACTATGAGAAGATTTCCAGCTTGGCTATTTTACCTTAAAATTTTAAATTCACTTTGAATTCTCACTAGGATGAATAACCCTGATAATATTGTGTGTAAAACTACAGAATGTGCCACTGCTGCTTTGAAATCAACATACACATATTCCCCAAAGCAGGCATTTTACATGAATCAGGTATGGAGGAGGCTGAATAATGAATAGTTTAGTCACTCCATCTACTGGGAGACTACGTTCCCCATTATACTCTACCTCTCCACAGACTTGGCATCAGAAGTAAACAGTCCCAGCAACACCGGTAATGGCAAAGTATGATACATGAAGTTATTATCCATTTTCTAGGGCATAGCAATGAATGGCACTTCTTATTTTACAGCACAAACTTCCATTCATGTTAAGACAAGACAGCCCAGGAGCACACAGCCGTAAACCTGTCATCAGAAACGAACACCACCCTGTAATACACACACACCGCTGGAATGAACTCGCTGGAACCCGGTGTGACACACATCCTCTTACCATCGAATCAATTACTTTCACCATCTTGTCGTTAAAGCCGCCGCTCTTCAACGTAGAACTCCGAGTATCTCTGAGCACAGCAAGCAGTAACTCCACAGGCTCAGTGCAGCAATTTATAGGGGCATGTGAGTGGGTGGCGATAACATGACACAATCGGGCAGCCTACTCACAGTGTCCCTCCCGCCGGCGCCAAAAGTAGGACTGAGCTGAATGCGAGCCCTGTGTGATGTCCGCGGCTGGAGAGATAATGCTGCCAGGGCTTTATTATTATTGTTAGCAGCATTGTTGCAGTTTACATCCATTTGTCTGTGATTAAGGAAGGAAAGCTATTGGTAAAACCTGTTCAACGTGTGCAGGTTCTGTTTCTGGCAACCTTAAATCAGCCTTTTGTGCTTATGAGCCTAAAACAATATGTGAGTTGGATAATTGCAACAGCAGCACAGGAGGGAAAAGCTTCAAAGATCGACATTTTTTTCTGCTAATATTCAGTTTGCATTGGTTAGAACAGAATGGGGTTACTGATATGTAGAGTAACCTAGGGAAACCTTGCCAACACTACTCTCCCTCACATAGACTAAGCTTCATGTAGAATTGAGGGGATAACTTCTAGGTCTGATAACAAGAATAGTACTCTGAGTCTGACTGAGATGGGATGGGGAAACCTGAGGTGCCACGTGGCTCTCCCAAGATTGGACCCTAAAAGTGTTTTTTTTTTTTTTTTGCACTATTGAATAGACAGGAGGTGTTGGAGCACCTGGAATATTTCTGAGCACATATTTACCAATACAAAGTATTTCCCTTTGACCAGTTTTGATCTTTCCGGTTATCTGCCTCCATTCTTCTTTCACAGTTCAGTAATCATCGGAACTTCTCCTTCCTTAGGATCCCTGTATATGAAAGGGCTGGTCAGTGAGGTCCTGCAAGGGGAGTAAAGTTATTGTCACTCTCGCTAGTTAGGGACTTCACTGGAGCACTGGGATATTTAGGGTTAATGTGAGGGTTAAAATTAAGGCTAGGAACTAATCTAGTCTCTTTCAATTCTTATTCTTATCATAGAAGCATGGGCGTCTGCAGGAATTTTTTCCAGGGGCAGAAGGCATAATTATAATGATATCCATGCTTGGCCCCCTTTTGACAGTGTCATGAAGGAAAGGGGCATAGTCATTATCACATAAAGCCAGGGTGAATAGCGTTTTTTACAACTATGGTTTCAGGAATACATGTATGGGTGATCTCTTTCCTTTAAGGGGTTAAACCTCTCTCAAATGGTTTAACCCCAAAGACTTCTAGGTCGCTCAGTGGTATTCGGCTTCACTTCACTTGTCCTTCTTGCTCAAATCTCCTTTTCTTCTTCATTTGACAGTCTTCTTATTCTTCTGACACTGTCTTCTCGCCTCCTTGGCTTTTTTTGCTCCTTTACCTTTCTGCTTCTTTTGCTCCCTTCTGCTCCTTTCTCTTTCTGATCCCTTTCTGCTCCTTGCAGACATATTCTGCTCCTTCTCCTACTTTACCTTTGTGCTCCTTTTGCCACTTCCAGCTCATTCCTGCCCCTTTCTGCTCCTTGCTGTCCCTTCCTGCTCATTTCTGTTCCTGCTCCTTCTCTTACTTTACCCTCCTGCTCCTTGCTGTTCCTTTCTGCTCCTTCTCCTACTTTACCTTTGTGCTGATTCTGATTATGTCACCCTCCCCACACGGCCACCACTCTCCACACTCTGGCACCTCCCTCCATGCACACCGTCAACACGCAGGCACCCTCCTGCTCTTTTACACTCACCCTGCCACAGTTACCCCTTTACTCACCCTGTCAACCCCCAAAGGCAATCATTATACACACCGTCATAAAACATACACATGCTCAGAGAAACATACATACAGATACAAGGATACTCACTGTCAGATACACACACTCAGGTAGACAATGCAATGATGTAAACAGGGACTAGCTCTGTGTATCCAGTGCTGCAAGCTCCACCAGGGACGTTTTAGCCACGAGGCAAACAAGGCATTTGCCCTGGGCATTTGGGGGCGGCTTTTTTTGCCGCCCCCAAATGCCCAGGGAAAATGCCTTGTTAGCCTTGCGGCTAACTGACATGCTGGGCTGGCGGGCGGCTGGCGAGGGAGCACTTCCTCTGAGCTGTCTGCTCAGCTCCCTCGCGCGCCACAGAGTGAGGCTAGGAGCCGGAACATGACGTCATATTCCGGCTCCCAGTCTCACTCTGCGGCGCGCGAGGGAGCTGAGCAGACAACTCAGAGGAAGTGCTCCCTCGCCAGCAGCCCGACCCCCCCCCAGCATTAGCAAAGGTAAGGAGGTTTGGGGGGTAAATTAAAAAAAAAAAAAAATGTGTTAATGTGAGTGAGTGTGTGTATGTCTGTTAGTGAGTGTGTCTGTTAGAGAGTGTGAGTGTGTCTGTTAGTGTGTGTGTGTGTGTCTGACTGTGTCTGTTAGTGAGTGTGTCTGTTAGTGTGTGTGTCTGTTTCTGTTAGCTAATGTATGCGTATCTGTCAGTGAATGTGTGTGTATTTAGAAGGTGGGGCGGAGGTAAGGTGGGTGGGGGTGGTGTGGGTGGCGGGGGATGGGGGCGCCTGAGTTTTGTCCTGCCTAGGGCAGCACAAAACCAGGATACACCACTGAGCTCCACCATCAATATATCTACAGCTTCTTATACACAAAGTCAACTACTATTTTTTTCTTCAATAATGGTGTTCTCCGTGGGGTCTCATGTATGAGTTTCGCCTAAGGCCTCGCCAAGTCTAGAGCCGCCACTGCAGTACAGCCCTTCAGTATCCAATAGTCTCTTATGCAGGGACTCCTCAAAGTGGTTTGCTCCTTCCCTCTGGAACTGTAAAAATAAAAAATATAGTTACAACTCACCAAATCGTAACCAGAAAGCATAATACTTATTTTATATTATGAGAAATGACAATTCCAATGTTGAAGATTGGAGGCGTAGAATAGAAAGAATGATCGAGCCCTTTCAATTTTGAATAAAAGCATGTCTGTGCTTACAGTGTAAGCAGTGTTTAGGTGATAGGGTCAGAGTGTAAGCAGTGTATAGGCGATAGGGTCACAGTGTGAGCAGTGTTTAGGAGATACGGTCACAGTGTCAGCAGTGTTTAGGAGATACGGTCACAGTGTGAGCAGTGTTTAAGAGATACGGTCACAGTGTCAGAAGTGTTTAGGAGATACGTTCACAGTGTAAGCAGTGTTTAGGAGATACGGTCACAGTGTAAGCAGTGTTTAGGAAATACGGTCACAGTGTAAGCAGTGTTTAGGAGATACGGTCACAGTGTGAGCAGTGTATAGGAGATACAGTCACAGTGTGAGCAGTGTATAGGAGATACGGTCACAGTGTGAGCAGTGTTTAGGAAATACGGTCACAGTGTAAGCAGTGTTTAGGAAATACGGTCACAGTGTGAGCAGTGTATAGGAGATACGGTCACAGTGTGAGCAGTGTATAGGAGATACGGTCACAGTGTCAGCAGTGTTTAGGAGATACGGTCACAGTGTCAGCAGTGTTTAGGAGATACGGTCACAGTGTCAGCAGTGTTTAGGAGATACGGTCACAGTGTCAGCAGTGTTTAGGAGATACGGTCACAGTGTCAGCAGTGTTTAGGAGATACGGTCACAGTGTGAGCAGTGTTTAGGAGATACGGTCACAGTGTGAGCAGTGTGTAGGAGATACGGTCACGGTGTAAACAGTGTGTAGATGATACAGGCGTTTCATTCTCCACAATCATAGTACTTTTGGTTACCTTATAAGTATTACAGTGACTCACATTGGTTGAATTGGCACATGAATACACATGTGAGCAGTAACGCCACATCAAGGCTTCAACCCTTGTTACTGACCATTCACACACACCATACTTTGCATTCATCCGCATTCAGTATTCCAGATGTTTTGCACTACACCTCCCATAATGGTTTGCCAGCATTATGGGAGATGTAATTCACAGCATCTGGACTGCCCAAGGTTACCTACCTCTGAACTATGCCATGATCACAGTACACAATGTTGAAGTTGCTGTGCAAACAGGAGCAGCTTGTCATGTGTCAGATGCCACTTCATTACTTATAAATTCAATACTCCACCCTGGAGACGAGCCTCAAACATGGGCTTCTTCATTCCTCTTCATGTACTTCGTGTCCCATAGGAGAACATGCTTGTCAGAGCTGTGACACACACAAAAATAAATAAACTGGTTAGAGTAGCTGGCATAACAGACACAGTGCATGCAGACTTGCGTGCCACATACATACAGCAGACACAAAGATTGTGGGAGACACACCGGATTAATTATAAGAATTGGGAGTACCATACATACACAATGCACAAAGAGACGGAGATTACTGAATTCGGTGACCGACGGATTTGGTTGCAGATGTGGGGCTGTCCCTCTCGCTGGGGTGCAGTTTCTCATCCTTCTCTGGTGAGTGACTAAATGGCTGTGGTTTCAAGGCATGCCATAGCATATGATATCTAGGAAATAAATATTTTTCTGTGGAAACTAGGGTTGTACACATCTAACACACAGGCCACACGTACTGTACAACTCCCCATCTAACGCACAGCCCCCAAATATAATACACTGCCCCCCCACATGTAAAGAACAGCCCCTCCATCTAACACACTGCCCCCCCACATTTAACACACAGGCCACCCCAATATACTTCACAGACCTAACAACAATAAATAACAATAAAATACACTGGTGAAAAAATCCTAAAAGAAGTGGTGCTACAATCACCTTAGTGGAGCCACAGAAACCACTAAATAAACACAAGTGACAATAAAGATACAAATGGTGAGAGCACTCAAATAAAACAAAAACAGATACAATAATATTACCCAAGCTGGATTACCATCTGAAAGTAAACACAGATAAGAGAAACACATAGGGTAATAACGTAATGATAAACACTTAAAGACTCTTACTGGTCTCACTCACATAAAAAGAGCCACTTAAAAACCTCGGATGAAGGCTTTTTGCCGAAACGCGTCAGGTGCTCTGTGGACTTTTATCACTAAGGGACTTCCTTTATATGTGTAGTTTTTTAATTCCTTCTTTTTATAATAAAGTGTATTGTTACCCCTTGAACCTGCGTTTCCTGGTGGTGCATGGAATATAACTACAGAGAGGACCCAGTGAAAGCCCAGTGAGAATTTGATTCAAGGCATGC